GAAATATTGAGTTGAAGTAAAAAGGTATTCATTCTTCAACTGATGTTTGGCTGGGGGCATTGTTTGCTGTGTTGTAGGTAATCCACAAGAGCTTAGCTTGCAGGCCACTGAGGCAGACATATAGCTAGAAGACTTTTTGGGATTGGTATATTTTAGCCCTCACCCCATATCCAAGATTGCGGTTGAGAAACAGATGGAATGATGACTCGGATCAAATTTTTAATGAAACTTTGGGAAAATTCTCTGGAAATTTATAAAATGTTAAGGGCTCTTCATAGAAATAACGTAATGAAGAACCATAGATGAAAAAATATCAAAAATGCTTACTGAAAACCTGTGCCAAGCAGGGCAATAAAGTATGAAATGAAAAGATAGCTTCCAGGAATGTTTTGAACAATGGAAATTAAAAATGGTGTAAATTTTAATGGGGAGTATTTTGAAAGGGATAACTAAAAATAATGTTACTGGATGGATGTACTAAAAATAATGTTAAAAAAAATTTATTTCAGTTTGTGTATTTATGGACAGAGTGTTCTTTTCAGAACTGCCATAACATTAAAATGCCACACCACCACCACACAGGCACAGTATGCTTTGATCACATTTTTAAATGAATGATACTTAACTCTTTATAATAGTTAAAAATATTTTATACTTAATGACTGTAAAACTTTAATTGCAACCGCTTCGTATGCATAATCTACAGCATTTTTTTTCATATGTACACCGCGCAAAAAAAGGGGGGGGGACAATTCTATATCTCTCATTTTACTAGGCCGATTGACGAAATTCAAATTGCATTTTTCGTGTCTCAAAAACGTGACTTAGGCATATATATTAGATTTATATATAGCATTATTCTAACATAACATAGGTATTCTGACACAAAATCGGACTTCTGAAAAAATTTATAATTTTTTTTCCATAGTTCGATTTTGCGACTCAAGTTATGCATAGGTATTAAATTATGTAACATTTGGTGAGAAATTAAAGAAGTTATCTTGATCGATTTTTTTCAGTTTGCGCCAAGAATAGTTCACTTGGCAGAATTCTTAATTTATAATAACCTACTTACTTTCCTTATTTTTCATTGATGCACTAGAGGAAAAAAGGTCCATCCTTCATTCTTTCAAAGTTTTAACAAAGTGCGTATACCACATTTTCGTTATTATCGCTTATATCAAATATGCTAAATTTCAAAACACGCCAAAATGTAAATTCACATTATCTTAGAAATTTTGAATAAAAAAACTTAATTTTTTTTCAGATATGCTTAGAAATACATCTATCTGCTTTAAGATGATGTTAAAAATTTTATAGGTTATAATTAAAAAAAATCAATGAATATTTAAAAATAAAAAAATTAAAAATAAATAATAAAATGTGCAAATTATATTTGGATTAGGCCTAAATTTCGAATTCTGGAAGAAAGAATCAAGTAAGTTTAATAAAAAAGATATATTAAGAAATATACATCAAATTCAATTAATTGAGAGCTAACTTTTTAAAAACTACTCGTGTGATTTTTACAAAATTTGCCAGTTTGGCATAATTTGAGTCGTAGAATCAAAATGTAAAAAAAAGTTTTTAATGTCATTTCAGAAAAAGTTCGATTTTGTGTCAAAATACGTATATTAAAACAATGCTATATATAAATATAATACATATCCTAAGTCGCACTTTCAAGACATGAAAAACACAATTTGAATTTTGTCAGTCGGCCCAGTAGAATGGGAGATATAGAACTATACCATTTCTTTTTTTTGCACAGTGTTCATTAACATCATTAAATCAGGATTTTAGAAATGGATGGATTGAAGGTGCATTTTAATGTGTTAGGGGGGCTTTGGGCAAAAAACAAGATAATTGGGCCCTATTTTTAGCAGGATAAGTTAATTAGCCGTACATACACTGACAAACCAAAATATTATGACCATTTTCACATTTTTCAATGAACTTGTCTGGATGATGTGGAGAGCACATGATTAAAAAAGAATAGTATTTAACCACTGCTGGAGAAGGTAATCAATCATTTTTGCACTTACTTTTACTAGTGATGGCAAAGGCTGCTGATCTAAGCGAATTTGATACAAGGTAGATTGTAATGGCCAAAAGACTTGAAATTAGTATCTTGGATACTGCAGGACTGGTAGGTTATTCATGATCTGCCACTGTTAGTATTTAAGCAAAGTGGATAAATGACGGGGAGATTATTATGCCAAGGTGTTGGATATGCACACGTCATCAAAGAAAAAGGCAGGATGTCGGACACTGTCCTTGGTACAGCAAAATCAGCACCAGATAGTGGCTCAGCTGACAGCCCAATACAAACAGTTCAGTGGACAGTGGATTTGCACAGCAGACATCCTATTCATGTAGCTTTGTTGATTAAGTATCATTGTCAGCTACGCCTACAGTGGACAGTTGTGGTAGAACAGGACATGAAAGCTGCGGACTACCTGAAGAAAACTACGGAGTAGCTGCACCCTTATATGGCACCTTCCCAACTGGAAATGGAATCTTCCAGCAAGACAATGCCCCATGTCACAAGGCTAAAATTGTGTTGGAGTGGTTCGAGGATCATAAGGATGAATTCCAATTAATGTCCTGGCTACCTAACTTGTCAGAACTTGACCTGATAGAGCACATTTGGGATGTCATGGATCATAAGCTCGAACACCACCATGTCCGAATATCTTGACTCTTTGTGTGACCACCACTTAGACATCTCATACAACCTGTCTCCAGAACATGTGGCATCTATGACAAAGCGAGTTGTAGGTGGTCATCATGTTTTGTCTCTTCAGTGTATATATTAATCCCCAAAAGTTCATTATATTTTATTATGCTTTGTTAGCTTTGAATAAGTCACTATTACAATGCAAAAATCCATGCCAATGCTATATCCATTACTGCAAAGCTTTTAGAAAGTCTCTGTTTGTTCTATTACAACCTGTATTATTTTTTAGATATTATATACAGAGTTATATCTTTTACTTCATTTTTGTATGCAAAGAGCTATAAGTCTGCTAAGTAACGAAGAAGAAGTTCAACTATCATATTGCTGGATGCAAAACACCACTGCACAGCAAATGATTTTATGGCATGAACTTGTTGGCACATTGGGTTACAGTCTAATCTAATTTTGCTAAAATACCGAGTCTTCCTTAATTTTACCAATTTTTTAATAAAATTGAATACACACTTCCTTTTCTACTTTATTATGCATTTGATAAAATAGCAAAGTACACCAAATATGATGTTAAAAAAAAAATTGAAGGGGGGGGGAAAGGTTCCAAAAGATGAAATTGATATAAAGAGGTTGTTCGCACATTTTTTAGCCGATTTTGCTTTGCTATTAAAAAAAAAAAAAAAAATCTGCTTCATTTTGTATGCAAAGAGCTATAGTCTGCTAAAGTAACGAAGAAGAAGTTCAACTATCATATTGCTGGATGCAAAAACACCACTGCACAGCAAATGATTTTATGGCATGAACTTGTTGGCACATTGGGTTACAGTCTAATCTAATTTTGCTTTAAAATACCGAGTCTTCCTTAATTTTACAATTTTTTAATAAAATTGAATACACACTTCCTTTTCTTACTTTATTATGCATTGATTAAAATAGCAAAAGTACACCAAATATGATGTTAAAAAAAAAATGAAGGGGGGGGGGAAGGTTCCAAAAGATGAAATTGATATAAAGAGGTTGTTCGCACATTTTTTAGCCAATTTTGCTTTGCTATTAAAAAAAAAAAAAAAATTCGTCTGCTTGGAAATTTTTTTTAACTGAACTATATTTTTCAAAATATAAAGTATAGTCTGATAATTGATAGTTTTGTTTTCATGTAAAATGGCACTTTGAAAAACGTAATGGAGGGAAGGCTATGTCTGTGCAATTTCTGAAGGAAGTTATTCATATCTAGTTACCAAAAAACACTGTGATAGCCATGGTTTTTTTATATCTAAAGCTACAATATATAATATTATAAACAAGAAAGGAAAAAAAAAAAGTCAAAGTTTTGTTTAAAATGAAAAAAAAATTGCTCCATCCAAGGAAAAACAGAATGTTGCAAAGGTAAGATCTTTACTATTAAAAGAAAATCTGCCAAGTCAAAGAACTGTTGCAAAGATTATAAATGCTCAGTGTCAACTGTAAACAAAGTGACTAATGCTGGATTTAATCTTGAAAAGGTGACAAAACATAATGTGCATCATCTTTCTCCATAACATATCGCGCTGCAGAATTCTTTATGAGAAACATTTATCTAGATAAAAATGTTGTCACAATAGATGAATGTTGGATGTATTTAAATGACTGCAATAAAAAAGAGATGCACTTATTATCATCAAAGAGGAGAAAACAATCTTAAAACATGGTTCAAAGAATCTAAAGAAAGTTTTTCAAAGAGATTTATGATTGTTGCTGGTTTACAATGGCAAATTAAAAATAGAGGAACAAGAAACGGGTATCAAGGCCATAATTCTTCACTACTAAATCTCTTAACATATCACTTATGGATTTTTATTCTTTTGGACTTTTAAAGAAAATATTGGGCTGTTGAATGAATTCTTACTGAACATGGCAAAGCATACAAGCCCATGGAGAGATATGCCTTTGTAGAGAACTTTCTAAGAGAAACCAGTTCATGTTTATATTATACATGAGAAAATTATGAAAAAGCAACTATGCAGCCAGCCTGTTTCCCTGGGATCAAACCTAGGTTGAACTTCTACTATGCAGTAGTCTAAAGGATTCAGCCATGCACTGTATAAGAACATACCATACAACTAAAAATTACCAATAATGAAATTGCATTATCACAAGAATGCTATGCTACTCTTAAACGATTTTATGTGTATTTTGTTTAAAAACTTATATATTATCTGGCACAAACAATAAAAATAACATTTTATTGTACAAAAGAATAACATGCTAACTTCTTATATATGCTTATTCTATCTAACACAGTCAATGGAAAAAAATAGATCATACTTACATTATTTGGTAATACATTTAACTCCTCACAGCAAATTCTGAACACATTTTCATATGATAAATTCTTCAGTGGAATTTCAATCTCAATAAAATCTTGATTTGGTGGATCAGATGTTCGAACCTTCAAAACTAATTCTATAAAAAAATATATATATATATCAATTTACTTTAAGAAAGACAGCCAAATTTAGAGGAAACAAATTGTTATTTACCTTCATCACAGTCTCGTTTTAAACACCTGTTAGATGCATTACTTGAATTGTAAGTATCTTCTAAATTGTGCGAATTTTGCATTATGACTTTTTCTACTAATGGTGGATTGGCTAAGTAGTTAGGTGTTATAGGGAGAGGATTACTTTGAAATTCTGAACTTTCATCATTATCCACTGTAAAATGAGGTACAAATTAGTTTTCAATACATAAATTTGTACAAAGTAATATAAAATTATAAGACCAAATTCATTTGTGGAAAGATAGAAGAAAACAGTACTGAGCTTTTGATTTTTATAAAGTTAACACACTAAATACAAATGAACCCTTTAGATAAAATGTGGGCATTTTAACAATTTAGTTGCATTAGATTAAATTTGCAAATATTGTTCCTATAAAATATTTTTCCAGATGTGATACTATCATAAATTCAGTTTTATGAATCATGACTACATTGCCCAGTGAATGCATCGTATAAAATATGAATGGTTTTAAAATTTCTATTAGCCATTCCTTGTAGTTTCATGGCTTTAGGCAACTCTGTTTCTTTCTTTCTCTCTCTCTCTTTTTTTTTTCAATATTATTTTGTTAACACTGAAGTATATGAAATGAAAAAATATTAGGTGAGTTTGAAATTTTTATTAATCTGAGCATCAGAATAATAAATGCATGATTAGCTAGGTTAGATTATTTCATTATAGAAAAATATTTTCCTTTTTTCCATAAAGAAAAGTGAGAGTGATGCTTTGTGGAAGATTTTCTAAGCAAACCATTTCATATCTATATTACACACTAGAAAAGCCAAGAAGAAAAAAAAAAAATCTATCAAATCAATCATGAGAAATCAAACCCAGAACGAACTACCTCTGGTTACTACTTGTATGTAAAAAATATTGATTTGCATATAATTCTGTGACTGAAAAAATTTCTTTCTAGTCAGTAATATGATAATGTTAAGGAAGCAGACTAAAAATGAATGTACAGTCGATTCTTAATATAAAAAAAAGTTGAACAAGAAATAAAATATCTTTCTTAGAATCAAAATTAGCTCCTGCTTAATTCTTCTTGCCATTATCATGGTTCTGAATTAACTAAGTTTAAATGTCACTGTCATGCCATACGCATGTATTAGCAATCAATGAAAGAAATCTAAAGAAATGATTTTATTATTATATGGGTCTTTTACATAAACAAAACTGTTTGAGAAATGCTGAAAATAACGTTCATATCTGAAATCACTTATTTTTTTTTTTCTTTACAGTTTGAATAAATAGGTTCTATGTTTCACTTTATTTGATTATAATTTTAGTTTATATTTCAATAGTAGGAATGAATTGTTCTTGGTCTAATTCATCTCATAAGATGGTAATTATTCATAAAATTAATCATTTATAAATTTATACTGAATAATAAGGCCTCTGCAGAAACATTGCAATACAATTTATTAAAATGATACTAAAGTAATAGTTTTGATGACTGAAATAAAATGCAAAATTTAAACTGAAATAAAATGCAAAATTATAAAAGACTTACGTGATAATATTTGTCTTATATCATCTTTCTTTGCTAATGATAAGGCAGTTTCTCCATAAACAGATGTCAATGTTGGATCAGCACCACGAGATAGTAGATAGCGAACAACAGAAGAATGACCTCTTTTAGCAGCCCAATGCAAAGCAGTCCTATTGCATATTAAAATTAAGATTCTAATTATCTGTTCTCATAATTAATAAACAGTATTTATCAATTAACTTCATAGTATTAGCTAATTGCCCCTTTCTTTCTTTCTTTTTTTTAAATACAATGAAGTTTTGTATTTTTGGTTACCAATTCTAAAAATGAAAGAATAGAAACATTCTTAAATTTAAAAGTAGCATAAATATAAATAAAGTCTTTGACAGTGTATTTTTATATAAATCAATTTTCTTCAAGCTTCTTTTTATAATTATTGTCTAATATATACACATCTGAGGAAAAGAAATCTCAGAAATTTTACTCCTATACTGAAATGAGCAATTGAGATACAATTAAATCATAGATGCTAGAATAAAATTGCCATATAATAAATAATAAAAATCTCTACACCATCTTTAATATCTATAAATTATATATTTGTTAATATGGGGTAAATATATTACATTTATATGATCAATCATCTATATATATATATTAAATGTAAAGCTGAATTGAATGATATAACGATTAATGATTTGCAACAGTTATCTTAATAGGAAAAAAAACAAACTATTTGAAGAGTAAAATACCAAATAATCTATTAAAGATATTATATAAATATTTAAATTTTGAAATGCTTTAAGTATAAAAAACTAAGTAGTGAGAATTTAATGTATATTAAAAACCAAAATTTTCAGATAACAAAGACTTTACATTAAGTTTCCTAATTCTATCTTCCAGTTCGAGAGGAAAACTAATTATATACTGATAAATATTGTGACTTATAAAATATTAAATTAAAAAAAAAATAATAGACAGAGATGATTTCTTGCAAATTTAAAATATTACTTTATGTTATAAAGCTTGCATTGCAGAAATATTTTATATTAACCCTCTGAGTCGCACATCTTTTTTTGACTTAACTTCTGAACTGCTGTAATTAATCAACACCATCTCAAAGAACTATCTAGGAGGTGTTAGCTCAGATGCTACCTTGTAACTGTCTAGAAGGTGTTGACTTAACACATTCACTGTCATGACAGAAAGCTCTATACTCACTTTATTTACATACAGCAAACATTTTATATAAACTTAAAATAAGCTGACAATCATGCAAACATATACCTCACCACATACTGGCATGTGACTAGTTGCAAGCATATTAAGCAGCATTTATAAGCTAGATGTATATAATTCCTTATTTTACTATTGCTTTCAGAATCTTCCATTTGTTAAGATAATATTTATAATATAGTGGAAATTGTTCCTTTTGCTTCAGTGCATTGTGGCTCAGTGGGTAAGACATTGAATTCAGAAACCAAAAGTCCAGAGATTGAAACCCATCACAGATGAGCTGCCTAAAAACTAATTCTGTTAATTTGTTTAATTAATGTTCCATTTATTGGAGACCCTTCCAACCATTTTTGTAGAACCTTCCAAGTCTGGAAAGTTCTAGCTTGTTCATCAAGTATATATAAGTGGTTACTTATTCAGCTTGAATAATAAAATCTTGAGTACTTTCTCTTTCATTTGTCTTAACACAATCCCTTCACCTACACAGTAATATCATTAAGGAATATAAAAAAATCTGATGTGTACACCACATGACTTCCTTGTATTGGAATATTAAATTATACGCATTTTTTCTTGCATTTCATTTAAACTTATTGGATTGAATTAAATCTACTTCGCCGACAGCGCATAAACCAAAAAGAAAAAATGCATTCTAAAAATTCTCAGATTGTTTACCATAGCGATCGGCGTAGATTCACTAACAGTATTAATAATTATTAACAGTTAACGTATATATTTCGTTCATATTATAACTCATAATGCAAAAAGTATATCATTTAAGAATAGAATTATCTAATCGTGCACATGTTATTCAAAAACTATAATAAAGCTAGAATGATGTATAAAAGAAATTAAGAAACAAACAAAAAAGACCAATTTTTCACAGACGATTGAGTATTTCTCATAAGTAATTCAGTTCTCACTTCGCAAAAAGGAAAAATACATAAAAATAAAAAATCTATAAAAAATTACGAATAAATCTCAAACATATTTCCTCGAAAAATTCCAGAAAAATTAAGCATGATTTAATGGCAATAATAATGAATGCGTTACTTTGTTGTGCGAAGCTAAGTTTCTAGATTGGCAACAACTCCACTAGTCTCCTGTTTCAAATGTAAAAATCAATGGCCGCCATTAAAAAAGCGGGCAATTAAACACTTTAAAATTGCTGATAATTCTAAAAATATTGCACACAGATTACTAAGGGCATAAAATCCTTAACCGGAAGATAAAAACAACATAGTTCAACCCATTTTAAAGCAAAAAGGTACAATTTACCAACCTCTCCGGAAAGAAACTGAATCACTGAGCCGGCTAACAGAGTGGTATATATATAATAAATTTATATACGTTGGTGCGGCCGATTGCAAACCCAAATACGGGTGCCATCTACATATTAGCCGTCCTTTACCAAATACGTTCTTCCCTTTTTGAGTTATGGAGATACGTACGACGCACGAACGTAGATACGTTGTACAGACGCCACAGAAAATTCTCCGCAGAATAATTTTTAAAGCAGTTTTATAATTTTTTTGAAGGAAAAGAGTATTTTATTCGTCCTTACGTACAGAATCACGCAAAACATGTTAAATTGCATTGATAGCGGTCAAAATGGATATTTTCGTTGAATATGCTGCCTGAACTTTTGCGATTACAATACTCCTTTTTACTTCGTACAAGGAAGTAAAAACAAAACATTTTAAATGACAAGTTTATAAATGATAGAAAATTTCATGACCAATTAAAAGTCCTGTTCCACAGATGATAAATTCTTGTTACAGATCTTGTTACTAGTCCCCCCCCTCCCAAAGTTCTCCTTTTTTATGTTTTCTTTTTTACTTCCTTGTACGAAGTAAAAAGGAAGTATTGTAATCGCGAAAAGTTTCAGGCAGCTATCGAATGCAATTTAACTATGTTTTCGTGTGATATCTGTATGCAAGGACAGAATAAAATACTCTTTTCCTTCAAAAAAATTATAAAACTGCTTTAAAATTAATTCTGAGGAGAATTTTTTCGTGGCGTCTGTACGAACATATGTGCGTACGTATGTATCTCGCATAACTCAAAAACGAGTAGCCTTAGAACGTTGAAATTTTGTATATGGAATGCTATAACATGCAGATGTGCACCTCGTATTGTTTGCAATCGCCGCACCAAACGTATATAAATATATTTATATAATCCCTCTGTTACGGCTCATGATCTCTCTTTATATATTTTGTAAATGTACATTTTTTGCTTTAAAAATAATGAATTATGTGTTTTTATCTTCCGTAAGGATTTATGCCTTTCTAATATGTGTGCAATATTTTTAGAATTATCAGCAATTTTAAAGTTGTTTAATGCCGTCAATATTTTTTATGGGGCCATTGAGTTTACATTTGAACAGGAGATTAGTGAATTTGTTGCCAATCTAGAGAAACTTAGTCGCAACAACAAGATAAAGCTTCATTTATTATTGGCAATTAAATCATGCTTAATTCTTTCTGGAATTTTTTGAGAAGGAAAAGTGTTGAAGATTTACTTCGTAATTTTAATATAGTATTTTGAGTTTTTTGTTTTTGCCTTCTAGCGAAGTAGAACTGAATAATTAAAGAGAAATACTCAATCGTCTGTGGAAAATTGTTTCTTTTTGTTTTGTTTGCTAATTTTTTTATACATCATTCTACTTATATTATATTTTGAATAGAACATGTGGCAACGAGTAGATAATTATTCTTTAAATGATAATTTTGTGCAGTATGAGTTATATTGAACGAAAATATACGTTAACTGTTATATAATATTGGATTATATAACAGTTAATAGTTTCCGTTAGATAAATTATATAAGTTAACTGTTATATTAATTTTAATACTGTAGTGAATCTAGCGCCAGAGTGTCGCAATGGTAAACAAATACTAGAGTGATTTTAGAATGCATTTATTCTATTGTGTTTATGCGCTGTCGGCGAAGTAGATTTAATTCAATCCAATAGGTTTTAAATGAAATGCAAGAAAAATACATATAATTTAATATTTCAATACAAGGAAGTCATGTGGTGTACACATCAGATTTTTTAATGATGATGATGTAGATGATTCTGTTCTGAAATTCTGTACATCAATGCTTTATTAAGAAAGTTCTATTTTTGAAAAAAATTACCTAAGCATTAAAATTATTTGTAAAGAAAATCTGAGTGAACCTGAAAAGAAGTCCTTAGGCCAGATGCGATTAAAAGCTTTGGCCACATCTAGCAGAAGGCATAACCAACACTTAATTCATTGTAGAGAGCAATAACCAATAAATTCAGAGATTCTTACAAACTGATGGCTAATGGAGAGCCACATCTAAATCTATACTGCAGGGCTGGGTTGAGGCTGAAGTAAAAATAAACATGGATGAATCTTTTAAGACTTTTTTTCCTGTGAAAAAAGAAGACTGACAGAATGGTAGGTGGACAGTTCTTCTAGAGATCTGCCTGGGTTTCGAGTGAGGAAGATATCAGCACTTTTCCATAATAAAGGAAAATGAGAATTATGAAGTTAAACACTAAATAAGCTTACAAGTTGTAAAAATGAGAGAGATCTTTTAGGATTCTATAAGTGATGGAGTCATTTTCTGGAGCTTTTTCAGATTTGAAGTGCTTGATAACATCTGCAATTTCTCTGGGAGTGGTCAGTTTGACATTCATTTACTGCATTGTCAATTTTAACTTCTGAGGCTTAATCTGAAGTTAACTGTTTGGGACTATCTGCTAGGTGAGATGATTCACAAATGTCTCAGCTTTTTCCTCAATGGTGTAGACAAATCCTTCATGTTTTCTTATTGGACAAGAGTTCTAACTAAAAGTTTACTGGGATAATTTTCAAAGGAACCACTATCTAAATGAAGGTTCCCAATTTTTACACTCAAAATTTATTGTCTATGATTCTAAATATTAAGGGTCTTAAAT